TTTTTTTTTCTTTAACAAAAAGAACCTATAAAGAAATATGGAAAGAATGTCAACTATTTTAAGGCAACAAAACATAATTCCCCTTATAACTTAAAGGTATTGGAATTTATAATTATTGAAAAGGATTATTTTTTTTATACATAAAATAATCGAAAAAGATGGGATCAGAGAATGAATTAGATAACATCGTTGGGGAGGAGAGTTCATCATTTTCAGCATTAGAAGTTCCTAAAGGGGATATCCTATTTTGCGTTAATAAATCATTTCTGAAGACTTGTGCACATTTGTCCTTTTTGATTTTTTCTATTTATATTATATTAAAGCACACATTTCCAGTAAGATATATGAGAAAACATTGTTATGTATTCACAATTTTGTATACTACTCAAGAGATAGTTGAATTATGATTTCGTTGACCAAATATGTGTATGCATATATATGATGAGCGTACATTCTTATTTATGCTTGTACATTTTCAAACATCTTTTAAATCTTTTTTTTTTTTTTTTTAGACTGTGTTCAAAAAATTGAATAACACATTAGATAACAACACATTAAATGCAATAATATCTGGCCAAGTTTATCTAGACAATTCAGATGAAAAGGAAAATACTGTATTACAAAATGGAATAGGAGGAAAATTTAATTATTCTCTTAGCAATATATACACAAATGACAATGAAAAAAAATATGGTGGAGAATACATTCCTTTGGAGGAAGAAACAGTTAATGATAAGGAAAAAGAAAATGACAAAAAATGTGAAGATGTAAAAAAAAAATATAATAATGAAATCAAAGAACTTGAACAAAATATTGAAAATGTAAGTATAAATCGTAAAATAGAAAATAATATAGATAAAAATATTTTAGGCAAAGAGACAGGTTACAATAAAGTAGATGAGAGAATAAAAAATAATAAAAGTGAAACAAATGATAATAATTCAAAAGAAGAAGAAGAAAAATATTATTTTTTGCAAGAAAATGACAATATGGAAATGAATCCAGGAAAGGCATCATATTTTGAAAAAATAGAAACGCACATATATAGAATAAATGAAGAAGACGAAGTTCTGGATAATGACATAAAGGATGATGACGTTTTAAAAGAAGGAAACGGAGATATTAAGAATAAAAAAGGACATATTTTGAACACAAAGAATATTACTCTTGATATAGAAAAAGGTGGGAAAGAAAGTATAAATAAGAATGAAAAAGAAGATGAAAAGTATGTTCATGAAAGCGTATTATTATATAACCAAATAAAAAACGAAGTACATGACAATGAAGCCCAAAGTACAAGTATTAATATAAAAAAAGTTGATGGAGATAATAATGAAAATAGAAAAACGAATAGTAATTCCCAAGAAGCTGCACAAGAAATAAACAAAAAACGCGTTAATAAATATAAATTAAAGGAACATGAAGAAAATACTCAAAATAATTCAACAGAAGATGTATCAAAAATGGATGAAAAAGATTATAATAAAACAGTAATAAACGACGATAAAAAGGATGCAGGCGCAAAGAAAGTACAAAAAGAAATAATACGAGAAAAGGTAGATGCGAAAAAAGGAGAAATTAAAAAGGAAGATGTGAAAAAGGATGAAACTAAAAAGGAAGATGTGAAAAAGGGTGAAATTAAAAAGGAGGATGTGAAAAAGGAAGAAATTAAAAAGGATGATGTGAAAAAGGAAGAAATTAAAAAGGATGATGTGAAAAAGGGAGAAATTAAAAAGGAAGATGTGAAAAAGGAAGGTATTAAAAAAGGTGCTATTAAGAAAGACGATGTTAAAAAAGAAGCGATAAAAGACATAAAGGACCCTAAAAAAGAAATAAGAAGTGAAAAGGACAAAAAAAAAGACATAAGAAGGGCAATATCATTAGATACCATTTATAAAAGTGAATATGATGTAAATGACGATGACTCTGATGATGGTAAATCCGATGAATGGAAAAAGAAAGAATGGGACAATTGGTTAATTAAGACCGAGGAGGATTGGAAACTATTTAACACAAGCATCGAGAACAAAAAAAATAGATGGCTTGAAAAAAGGGAGAAAGAATTAGAACAATGGCTTGTAAATATGCAGAATAAGTGGATGAATTTTAAAGAAAATGATGACACTGAATTTAAAGTGTATGCCATGAAAAATGCATCAACATGGAATGATAGTGAATGGGAACAATGGACTAAAACAGATGGAAAAAAACATATGGAAACAGATTTAAATAAATGGTTTAATGAGAAAGAAACCTTTTTGGAAGGTTGGGTTTCTAAAGAATGGAACCAATGGAAAAATGAAAGAATGATTCAATGGTTATCTGTTGATTGGAAACATAAGGAAGATGAAACCTTTGAAAATTGGAAATCAACGAAATTTACACATATCTTACATTTAAAAAAGAATAAAAGATGGAACAAATGGAAAGAAAGGACAAATAAAGAAAAGGAAGATTGGGCTAATTGGGTAAAGGGGAAAGAAAAATTATATATAAATAATAAATGGGATAAATGGTCAAAATGGAAAAAGGATAGGCGTGTTTTATATAATCAAAAATTCGTGTCTTTCATTAACAAATGGATAAATGACAAACAGTGGACCGTATGGATCAAGGATCAAAATGGTCAAGCTTTATAACAAAATAATGAAATAAATAAAAGTTAGGAAATTATTTTACAAACATGATATAACACTGCTTTCTTTGCTTATTGATAGTGAAACAAATAATACCGTAACCAAAGAGTTTCATATGGGTGGTGAATATAAAAATAGAGCTCATAAAAAACACCAAGCGTGAATTCTTTTGTTTTTAGCAATATTAATGGTTCTTCCTTAAAATGGCAAATACTGTGGTTATAAAAAAGCAGTAAAAAGGTAGAAGAATGAAAAAATATATAAAAAATTGTTAAAAATAAGATAACATAACTTCAATAATATGACGTAGATATGCATATATATTTACACAATTAAAAAAATAAAAATAAAATAAAAACGCAATTCTTATTAGAAATAAACTCCAAATATATTTGGGGTTAAATTTGGTCAATGATAAATAGTACACTTTCTTATTTAATATTACCATAATATTTAAAAAATAGTATAGCCATAAATAATTACAATTTTTTGTCTCACATTATGTGCTATAAATATATATTAAAACAGCATTCTTCCTGGTGTCTTTTCTGAAAGTATTTTTGTATACTATATTGATTTTTTTTTATGTGTCCCCTACATTACCTTTTTTTTTTTTT